GGTCTGCTCAGCATATTTATATTAATTTATTGTATATAATTATAAGTGAGTACCATTATAAAATATGAATATTTACATATACTTCTGTATAATACCTTTAATCTAGGAGTGGGCGACATCTAGGTTATAGGAATATAGGAATACCTATCTGAAATTTTGTTCCAGGGGCTATTTACCAGGTCGTGGTACCAGGTATGTGTGTTTTGAGGTATGGAGCATAATTATGGAGCTAGTGATTGCTTATGCATTGATTATGAACCTACTCATCCTATAAATATCCTGCAAATCAGATAATGTGAACAAAAAACTACAGAAAATATAAGAATAATCAACTGATGATCCAGAAGTACTAGCAGTGGACCAATATTCGTACACAACAGATCACTTATTTTATCAATATGAAATATAACTCTGTATTCTGAAAAATTGACAAACTTTCCTAGGTACCTATAGAAAATACAAGAGGAAATAGTATTTCATTGTTTGATTATATTTTAGTCAAAAACAGAGCAATTGATCGAAGTATTTGAGCATAAAGAAATAACAAAATATGATTCTGAACAAAATTAATGAAAAATAACACTACTTATAAGTGAACCTATAATGAAGGATAGTTCAAGGAATCTCTCAAATAAACATAGCTCCTCTTCGTTGGGTAACGTACTCTTGCTCAAATATCTCAACTTGAAAACACGTGTGATATATTCTGATGTCCATTTTACCCGTTCAGCAAGAATCTCAACATTCACAACTGGTCTGGTTCTGATCATTTTTCCAAACTTGAATACTTATGGTGTTTCTCTTGTTGTATTTGGTATAATTGATGGGATTCCTACCTTGAGTTTTCATCTCTTTGGTGTGTGATTTAGCAATTCTGCTTGTGCCGTTCAAATCCTCGGCATCGAAATGGGCAGAAGATATTCGCCAAGTTTTGGTATTAAATGAATTAAAATTACGTCCACAAAATTGAATCCATATTTCTCACGAATAGACTCATCTTATAGAAATTAATGGAAACACAAACTAAATTCACTAGTCTCATTACACGAATTTTAACAAGAAGTGACCGAACAAATTATCATTTTTACATTTTCAAGTTCAAAATGGTTCAAATAGGTTCAAATATTCTAAAATACTGACAACTGTCAACTCAATACATGCGCCTGCATGCGCCGGCCAATCGCCGGCGTACATATCATACACGAAGTGTACGAGAGTGCTACACTTTTCGTGCAAAAGAAAGGGCCTATTACGTCATGAGTTACTCAAGGTCACTCGCGGGGTGCGATCGAGGCAACCTTCCTCTACAAAATAGTCATCAGTTCTACCAACCTTGACTTTACTGTCGAGCAGCGACATCTCTGAGTCTCTGCCTGAACTATGGCGTGTCGCTGCAGTGCAGTTTTCTGTATCATCTGAATCTCATCCTGACGGGATACAATCCGATGATTTACCGTCCGATGGAATACGGTGTCGACGAATTACGGTTTCTATGAGATACGGTGCTGATAAATTACCAATTCTATGAATGTTCATTATGATAGATTAACGTTGATGAAATACGGGTCTGATAAATTATCATTCCTATGGAATACGAATCCGATGAGATACTTGTTCTATAAAATACGGGTTTGACACATTACTGTTTCTATAAAATACGGATATGATAAATTATCATTTCTATGAAATACGGGTCTGACAAATTACAGGTTCTATGAAATACGGATATGATGAATTACCGTTTCTATGGAGTACGGGTTTGATGAATTACTGATTCTATGAAATACTGATTTGATAAAATACCGATTCTATAAAATACGGTTTCTATGAAAAGTTGTTATGACCAAATACGATTATGATGGTTTATTGGTTCGATGAAATACGGTTTTGACGAATTACGGTTTCTATGGAATACGGTTATGACGAATTATCGTTTCTGATGGAATACAGTTCTGATAGATTACCAATTTGATGAATAACTAGTACGATAGACTAATGTTGCGACAGAATACGGATTTGATAAACTACTGCCTCGATAGAATATAGTTCTGATAAGATACAGATATGATAGAATAATGACTCGTTTTAGTACCATTTCGACATAAAACTGTTTGATGATTTACGTGTTGAAATTTTATATTTCGATGAAGTACGGCCCGATGTTTTACAATTTGATATTTTACGGTTCTACAGAATACAGTGTCGATTCTATACTATTTTGACGATTTACCAATTCGATGAAATATTTTTCTATGGATTTGAATTCGATACTTTATATTTTGACACATTAGGTGTCCCCTTTGGAGAATGGATAGCTGGACGTTTATGCTCAGGATTTGAGGAGTTGTTATCATTTCCGGATATTGTCCAGATCCTGGCGAGAATCTGAGCATCCTGTGTGTGTATGTGCTGTTTGGTGTGCACCGTACGAGATAACACTCCATTTCGTCTGGATAATTCGGATTAGGGGCGAAAGCCGTTAGTCCAGTCGTTGGTGTAATTAATACGCCCATAACGGCCACCGCCAGAGGGGGCTATTATACACCCTGCGATGCACCGCTGTAATCTCAATACTAAATTGTGTATCGATTTCCGCCGAAGGCTGTTGCCACGTATTCATTATTTCCTAACTCCTCGGCAAAATCTGCCAGCAGCGATGCCGAATCGATAGTCGAACGATTTTGCAGTTACTTGGTGTTATTTGTCCACACGGAGCTACAAAGACAACCATACGCAAGAAACAAAACACCTTTGCAGTCACGGAATACTGGAATCCTAGACTAAATCGAAAATTGCTTGTTTGTTGGTTAGATTTGGCAACGCAGTCGATGATATTTCGCTGTTATACGTTGCGTTCCCGTGATACTTTTTAATGGGATCTGTTCGTTAGTGAAACTGTCCGCTCTACTGGTTTGTAATTCTCCATTGACCGATAGCGACTGGTTCGATGGAAATGCATCAGGCTCTTTGTCCGTTTGGAAAATATCGGCTGAAACAATAATTGACGCTGGTACTCGGGGCGAGGTTTTTTTTTCATTGGGAAATCGAGACAAGTCTACTGGATAAAAAGGATTTTTTATCGGCTATGGTGAAATTTCTTGTGTCTCGAAAGCAACCTCGACTGTCGGCGTTTGTGTTTATTTTAATAACATTACATAAGTAGGTTATCAAAATATTGTCTGGAAACGCTGTAATCTATTCTTCAAAAGCCCACCCTTGTTTGCCCGCTTTCTATACCGAGCGCACGGTCTTCCATTTTTACGTCATCGAAATTGCTTGCCTTTTCACCTTTTCCGTAAAGACGGTATTAAAAATGCATTACACATTACACACACAATTCCGGAGTTATAGCTTGCACGGAAAGAAAACGCAAGCAAATTCATTTACTTATGTCGCTCTAATATCCTTTTGCGACACTGAGAAGTTTTCATCGTGCTGTTCGACGGAAAACTTTCATATTGACTGTTTTATTTGATAGGTATACTCATCAAACATTCTTACAAAAATGAAAATTGCCATCCAGCTTATTTTCGAAAGTGGCTCATCGGCTAATATTGAGGCAATGAGCTTGAAGCTATAGCTGATCAATAAACATTAAGCAACATCACTCAACTTATATATATATTTGTAGGCGCAATTGGATTTAATTGGAAAGAAACTGCTAGTTTCACTATTTTGAGTTAACGTTTAACGTTAACTGTTTAGGCGATGATTTTGTTTTTGTTGAAGACCACTTATATAATTCTTTAGTCTAAGTTTCATAACAACGTAATTTAAATTCGTCTCTATCTATGATAATCCGACATATTTATCCAATAAGCGCAATGGGATTCACTGATTGATATGCTTCGAAATTGTTCCTTTCAATTTTGAATTCAAAACTGAAAGAAGATATTTGCTGCTTCAGTATTGATGCGGATTCAACTGGTCCCATGATCTATAATTAGCAATTCTTGGTACGCCGCAGATTCAGTATGCATTTAAAGTGATTATTTCCATGCGTGCTTAAACATGCTTGCGACGAACTACGCGTTTTCTCGACATACTCGTACAGGAAATGATAGGCCGTATCTTCCGAAGAAGGCCATGCTTATTGATAAACCTTGTGTATTGCATTTGTTTTTTTTTAATTTCGCGACCTTGTCGTTGGCCTCAGTAATTGCTACCGTTTGTGCGATTATTCGCTTTATCGGGCAGGTGTCTTGTATTTTACCTCTTTCTGTTGATATAACGACCATTCAGCGGTCGAGGAAGAGGATATGTAACTCGTATATGGCGGTATTCTAATATTCTATTGAGTCGGTGACTGCACATTGTGCATTGTTTTCAAATTTGTCGGCGACTTCAAGAGTTGTTTGTCGGAAATTTGAATATCACCATTGACAAATTCGTCATTTCCACTTATTCCGTTCGGACTTGTGAAATTTTAACTTGAATTGAATGAAAACACTTGAAAAAACTGTGACTAGAGAAAATTATTCTCTCGGTGTTGCGTGAAAGTCGTCGTTATCAAGCAGTCATAACTAACGGTAACCGGTATTACAAAATAAACTATTTCGAAGTGCATCTATCATCAGCATCGTAACCCAAGTCTATTACAATAACGCTGAACAAAAGCAGAGTATAAAACATCTAATAATCTCTCGTCGTACTCCTCGAACGCTGGCTGCAGAAACCGGTTCTCGAGAATAAATCAAGAGTGCGCCTCGAGCCCTTTCTCGCGCATACAAACAACTGAACGACTAACAACGGACAGGTCATGCGGTTCATGGACTACTCACAGTAAAAATAAAAATCGTTCTTTTGTTCTTTTATTCGCCAACCTTCGAGAATCGACTTCTTGCCGTGATTTCTTCCAGCCTGAACTGTAAATAATCGATAATTTATAACTAAGCTGTACCCAGTATTCCTCTGTAGAAGAACTTTATCCAGACAGTCTCGGTAATCACTGCGTCTGCATCATCGACCATCCGAAACTGACGTTTATATATTTTTTGCAGACGAAAAAGAACAACCCCAACCACATCAAGCGACCCATGAACGCTTTCATGGTGTGGTCGCAGATCGAGCGCAGGAAAATCTGCGAGGTCTCACCCGACATGCACAACGCAGAGATTTCAAAGAAGCTCGGCAGGCGCTGGAAGTGCCTCACCGACGAGGAACGTCAGCCCTACATCGAAGAAGCCGAGCGACTCCGCCAGCTGCACCAAAAGGAGTACCCCGACTACAAATACCGACCGAGAAAGAAGAGTACCAAGCCAGCCCCCAAGACCCCGCCGACGAAAAAGTCCAAAAAGTCCAACAAAGTATCGAAGAACGATACCAATAACAATGACACGGTGAAGGAGAAGATCTTCGCCAGACGCAGCGCTGTTCCCGAGACCGTGGCCACGAAGCTGAAGTTCCGGCTTGGTGCCGAGACGACCACCGTATCCAGGGTGCTCGAGACGCACGAAGTGCTGCGGCAAAGCGTACCCGTGCAGCTGCCTCCCATCAGCTTCTCTGCCAAGGTCCCTTCCAGTCCCTCCTGCGATACTCCGGACTCGCCCGAGAGTGCCACGATCTACGACGACACCTGGGTGAACCAGTTCCACGGGTCCATCGTCAAGGACGAGCCCGAGGACAGACTGTCGCACCACGTGCAGCTGGCCACCGCCACCTTGGACGACCTGGACAGGATCGATGACCTGCTGCCCATGGAGGGCATCAACCTGGAGGAGCTGGCCGATATTGACACGAACTTTGACACGGCGTCCAACAGCAGCGGGTCGCACCTGGACTTCGCCTGTCCGCGGGACATACCGATGTTTTCTAATATAGAGAACGCCTGGTGTGAGCTGCAGAATGACGAGTTTATGGTTTGTTGAAAGAGACTTTGAGACTGCGTTGGCGAGATTTTCCTGGATCGTGCGACCGAGCGCGATTGTTGAGGGTTTTTTTGAGGGGTCGGCGAGGTGTGTACGCGAGGAGAGCGTTGGCGAACGATGGGATGACATCGACAATTTTTTATATTGTATATTGTATAACGGAATATCCTTAACCCCGATAATGATCTCATTTTTTGCGTTTATTATTTTTGTATTTATCAATGTACGACCTTCTACCGGGATCTACGGTTCTTAGCGATTCGGTCATTTCGAGCTGTGCTGCAACTACTAGCGCCACCAAACTGAAGAGGAACTGATGGTATTATCTAAATCAGAGAAAATGGAATATGAGTTCAGTGGGAATCAATACCCATGAAACTGTTTCACAAGAATACATTTTGAGCCCAAAACCAAACATCCTAGTTCGATTGAGTGTACTCTGTCTTTGGTGACTTTGTCGTTATCAAAGAAACAAAATTGTTGAAATAAACAACATATTTCTCATTCGACAACAAAGTTATCAATGGTGGATATTCTCTGTACTAGTTATTTGATATTGGAGTTTCTAGCGATTTTTATGATATCGATACAGTTGATGTATGAATGAAAAGTTCCGTAACCGTTTCTCTGGATCAGTGAATCTGATCAAACAGTTTGATAATGAAGGTGCTTTGTTTTGGTGGTGCCGGGTTGTATTTTTTGGAATGATTGAAATAAAATAGTGCCTAGCTCAGTACTTTTGTCGATCCGGTAAATTATAACCGGGCGTTAGTTTTCGACATTTTAAAAACTGTTGACCTCATATGTGAAAATGGCAACAGAACACAAAAACAGGCTGTGATTCATCTGTTTGATGACCAATATTTAGTTGTCAAAAAGTCCGTGTAGTCTATATAACGATATATGATTCTGCTGCTGATGCTGCTTACTGTTTTCGGTCGGCAATTATTCCGAATTTTTCAGCGGACCGGTTTGACGCACCCTGTCTATTCATTCGAAACGACGTCAATTTTTCGTTTTCAGTTATTTTCACGTGCGAAACTTTACATGTTTGACAATCCTACTGGAGATTCGAATTTCTAAACTAAACAATATCACTTGATGACAACCACATTGATAATCATACTTTTATCATCAAATATTACATGGTGTCACTAGAATATCCGATCTCTTTGAATATCCTCACAAAGTTTTAACTTATTTGTCACCATTTTTTATTTTCGAAATTCGAAATGTCAACACAAGATTTGATCATACTTTTCGGCCTACCAATGTCCATTTGTGAGATGGGAATGGCACCTTGAATATTTTCACTGTTCGTCCAGAAAGGTACTTAAAAAAGGGAATGGAAATGGGAAAATCGTATTCTGGGACGTCGGTCGAGCACTCTTGATTGATCGTTGATGGCGACCGATAAGTCGATATTATAAGTAGGCTATTGAAATGTTTGTGAGGCAGTCAATTTGGAACTCCAGTTCATTTGTGCACCACCAAAAATCTTGAGGCGTCACGAAGGAGTCGGCGATAGTTATGTGCAGTCGTATATTTTCATCACCCGATATAGAATTCGGTCACTTATTCATTTCACAATGCGATATCAAATTGTTTCCATGAATACCGGGATTTGTTGAGTTTCGCATTGAGATTTGGATGAAAGTGTCATAGCTTCGATCAAAAACTCTTATATTCGGTTACTTATGCCTACGGTTAATTTTTTTGTCAAAGTCAACGCACAAACTTGTCATAATAACAAACTAAGAAATAGCGTTAAAATTTTCGAGATATTCAGTATGATAGAGTAGCAAGCAACATCGATATTCTTGTAATAAACAAAAAATATATATATGATATTGGAGGGCGCTATACCAGCGCCACCACGTGCTTTCAGTGTACTAGAATATAACTATTACTATTAGATTGGACTGTCCGTATTATATAAGAGTTTTAAAAATTTTTGAAATTTTAAGAGGCCTGCCTGTAAAGTATGAATATAAAGTAGAGTTCGTAAACTGATCGGAATAACGAGTGAATCGATCAGATGGGTCATTTGTCATGGCGACCAGTTTATAATATATATAAATATATATCGGTGTATTTTTGTACCCAATAACGATTTTTTTAGCCGCGAGACGGTTGCAGTCTTTTTCAAAACGTACCGTTTGACTGATTTAGATGTAGGGTTAGAGAAAACTATGCTTACTGTCTCTTACTATGCGCGCGATAATGTTTTGTTCTACAAACCGCACGATATCGTTTTGGAATCAAGATCTTTCGACTGATCTCTCGCAACATTGTAAATAAACTGTAAAAATTGCTCATGTAAAAATATTGTTTTTGTTGAAAGTACTGTTTATTACGATTCATCCCGAAAATCCCTGACCATTCTCCACCTAAACGAGTAATAAAAAACCCAAGGGATGGTGTCAAAGAACGCCTCGTATGATATTTTTTTGATTAAAGTACGTGTTCGTGGACAATTTTCAGAGCTTATTTGGGATAATCGTTGTTTATGCAATCATTTGCAATAATTATTATTAGATCGCTGGAAGAATTTGAATTGTTGCATTCGACTTGGAAATTTTTAGAATACCCTAATTCAAGTTTTTGCAGCGATAATTTCATAGGCGTGCCAGGGAACTTTCGTCTAAGGGTGATGTCTGTGTATTTTTTACTTGAAATTTGGATGGTGTAATTTTTCTGTTGAGATGTGCAAATTTCTGGAAAAAAATCACGATTGTTTTCTAGGGAATGTCCACTATCTAAGTTGGATCTCTCTGTACGTCTATGGAAATGTTTTGTATAAAAAAACTCCGTTAATTTGTCGCACTGTTGACTTTTTATTCTGGCGGACGATTTGAGAGATTAAAGTTAGTAATATTTTTGCATAATATTACCTATGTGTATCATAGTACCCAGCATTTTTGAAGTCCCCCTCATGTATTATATTCATATTACTATATTGAAGTTTATTATATAGTGTGTAAATTTTGTATTGTAGTTGCTGTTGAATATATTATTATATGGCAAATAATCCCTCTTTTTATTTTTACCCTTTCCGTCATTATAAAATTCTCAATATTTTTATCCATAAACTTGAGAAAAACTGATTGAAGGTTAAATGATGGAAGAATGAAAATATCCTTTTGTGGAATTGGAAATCATTCGATAAATAACAAGTTTCGAAATATGAAAATTCGATGGGACAACAAGGAAGAATAACTGGAATACTGAACACCTCCATATCAAGATCATTATAATTTGAATCATTACTTTCATGTATGACAAGAATCCTGGAGCCATATGGAACAGTAAAATATCTTTGGAACTGTTCATCTGATTATTTTAAAAACCTAACTGTGCTTAGTAATTAATATATTTAATCTCAATGATACAGCCATGATTGCCACGTTCTCAGTCTTACGTCTCATTATCTTCAAATAGATACCTTATGGAATATAAACCTGTTCAATACGAATTCATGCGGGTTTGATGAAGGTACCTCAAACGACTACGAAGAAATGAACAAAAATCTCTTTCATTTGACCCAATGAGTGTGACTGCGAGGTGAGATGATTTGTTCAGAGAAACTTCTTCGTTACACTCATAGGGCTAATGAGAAAGATTTTCGTACATTTCTTCGTAGTCGTTCGACGTACCCTCATCACACCTGGTACCGTTCAATTCGTATTGATAATCATTATCGGAACATGAAATTGAGAAACTTGAAACATTTTTCCAAGTTTTCTAAACCAGCTTTGCCATCACCCCAATATATTCCTTCTTCAGAATCACTCCCTATGGCGATATCTAGATTTTCAGTGATTGGTGATGCCCAGAATGTATAATTTGGAAACTTTCGCCTTGTACATTTTCAAGTTTAGACAAATCTCTTGATTATCTTGCATCCTCACTAGTGTTGACTGATTTGTCAATTTTACTGTTAATTTTTGAGTATTGAAGTAGGTACTCTCTCTGCATATTCTTTCAGAGTGTTTCGAAATGTGCCTGTTCGCTTGTAGTGCTTTGGCATAATTATTTCTGTTATGTAATCGAATAAATAACCAAAAACAATGGTAACATGACAGATATATATATTGCGGTCATTACGACCAAGTTGAACTTTTCGATAAAACTACATTACATGAGGACAGCACGTAGTCTTTGAAACGTTCCAAATATCTATAGCTCACAACCACCTCACAACCACATACATTTCTTGTCACAAAAACGTCACAATGACCGCATTTCAGCACGGATGGCTCAAGGTTTGGTGGCGGGTCTGGTGCAGGAGTATATGAAGGAGGAACAGGGAAAGGAATCTCAGTACCTCTTGGCAAATACGCTTCAGTGTTCCAGGCCGAAGTGTTTGCAATTCTGACGTGTGTCCAAGAACATTTCGGCAGAAGTGGACGTGGACCAGTCACCATATGCTCGGACAGTAAAGCTGCTATTATGGCATTGAGATCCAATAGGATCACAACTGAATTGGTGTCCAAGTGTAGAAGTGCCTTAGAAAATATGGCAAAAACTAGGAAAGTCAGCCTCATGTGGGTTCCAGGACACTCTGGTATCCCGGGGAACGAGGAGGCAGACAGACTAGCCAAGATCGGTTCAGGAACGACACCCATTGGACCAGAACCGATATTGGGAATAGTACGGCTATGTCCTTCATGAAGGAAATGCTACAGAGGCAGTTCCTTGAAACGGCTGTGTACCTGTGTTATTTTTCACCACCCTGAAAATTTGAAAAAAATTGTCAAACACTTTTTGAGATATTCAACTATTCTAGTTACGTCACTTTATATGAAAGGTCACAGTTGAGTAACATTTACAGACTGTTGGTAAAAAGCGATGTCATAAAGAATGCAAATTGATTTTGTAGCTTCCTCCATACGCCGGTTCATGCATATTCTGCCCGGAGTTCCCAACTTCCATTAGGAAATTGTTAACAAGTTGTTAAATAAGTAAAGTAATGACAAAAGTTGGATGCACTTCCCGGAACCACTTTCCACTACATCGATTTAATGGACAAATAGTCCTGGCAACTAGCTGGAGTCTATAATGTAAAGGACGAGGTCTGTCTACCGAGAAAAATAATCCTAGTGAACTGTTTGTTACTACTACATACATACTTGGTTAATAACATTTTTATTCTGACAAGTGAAAAATTCATCTGGACATGAAAACTTCACAAAACACTCATTGTTGATAACTAATTTGATTTGGTTTAAGTATAGCAGTCGATTTGTTAGAAATAAACAGTTCCATTGAGATAAGATGCCCAGTTTTTGGTGATGTACGGTACACAATTCGATTATAATGAACCAATAGCATATTTGTCAAAAATATTCATCAGTGTGTGTATTGAAAGTGAACTTTTTGTTGCTATAAGTGTAATAGTATAGGTATCTTTTTTATCAGAGGGCAATAATTTGTGAATTTTGAGATATCCTTTAGGAATGCAAGCTTGCTTGGTGTCCGAAAATCAGTTGACTGTTACCTATATGCCTGAAAACTAAGTTGAAAGAATGCAAGGTATGGGTAGGTAGAAATATTCATAGCTACATTCATTCCTATCCACTCAATACATAACGACTCGTAGTTCCAACATAAAATCGCATTCTGAACAATTAAATCGTATGTTTCATTCGCTTTGATTTCTAAAGTCTCACTATAGAACCAGTATAACTGATTCAACTGTCAATATTTATTTGGGATGGTTCCAGTTGCGTCAGAAGATACATTTTCTTACTAAACTCTCCCACTGCCCCACATTTGAAGTGATACAAGCAAACATGAACAACTATAATTTTCGCACCGTCGTTACTTTGGATTGGATCAACCAATTTCCAATTCCTTTCCATATACCAAAATGAACAGATTCATTCAAAACCACCATTCTCCAGATTGGTCTTGAGGATTTCCAGCGAATAACATGTTCAACAACGTTTGCTATCATCTGAACTTGAAGATATGACAATGAGTTGTTTAAAAGTATCTCTCAACATAAGAACGCTAAGAGGTGCTTTGGACCGATTCGAAACTATCCCAAACTAGTTCCATAGATTGAGATGGTCTTCTTAATCTATGCTAGTTCGTATAAAATAACGAAAACACGTGATCTGTGGAATCCGAAACGGTCCTGGGAAAACGAGAACACTTCTTTGTCATTGCGCATGCTCCTGATGGTTTCGGACTGTTAATTTTGTGAACGCAAACAAACCTTTTATGTCAAAGGGACATCTATTTTTTGGGCGCTGAACCAATAATAATATTGTTCACGGTTATCCTATTTTGTTGGAGGTCTATAGAGTGTAGTTTGGCTATGCTCGAAAGTTATAATATGAAGAAAGGTTTGATAATACGCGCAGGTGCCTAAATCAATGATCTTTTGTAGCGACACGTTGGTTACATCACAGATTTCAGCACGCTGGTGCCATCGTCTGGTAGAGGGTAGAGGGTTTGTAAATGTTTCCCGGAGTAGATATAATAAATCACTTTCAATGTTAAGTAGGGATAGCTTTGATTCACGGGTTGTCTCATCGTAGTTCGAAGCCTACTTCTTATAATTTTCATTCATGAAAATGAGCAGCGCTGTTCCAACCATCGACAATGGCTTTCGTAGCTTCAGCAACCAATAATGATTACCTTTATTGATGATTCCGTGTAACTGGTAGTTTGCGGAATGGATTTTCTCATATTTTCGTGGTTTCTTCAGACGAAATCTTCCTAAAACGGCAATCAAACTTGACGCGACAGAAATTGGAGTGACATCAGGCACAAATAGCTACTAGATCAAAGGAGCAGGCAGTTTATCAGCGACTATTCCACTCTTGATCTCGAGAACCAATCAGAATCGACCATTTTCACAGTTTCTTCTGTATTCTAGCGATATTTTTAATTTAATAAATTTTATCGGACTTGCTCTACCAATACAGAAGCCGAATTGACCCACACGTGACCAACAAACCTCGTTTATCAGCGATAAAATTTTGAAATTGTGTCTGGTCAAGATTGCTTTGGATTCAAATCTAAGACGATAACCTAAGTTCCTACTTTATTTTATTTACATATAAATTCGCGTTAGTGAGACATTTTGTACGAAAGGCGAGACAATTTTATTCTGGCTGTGCGTTTCATGTGTAATTTAAAAAGTTTTCATATTTGTTGACAGTCTATGACATTGACATTTGATAACAATGTCATTCACGAAATTACTTGGCAACAAGCTGTCGTAACAATCACCGAATATTTCCGGCAAAATATCATCACTTGTGGTATTACATATGATAAAAAAGATGCATCCTTTCTTATCGATGTCAAAATGACTCAAGTCGTCAAATAGCGTTGTCCGTGTAGGAGTTAGTAGTAGTAGTATTTATTTAAATAGGATACCCTAATATACATACATAATTTCATATTATAAAATTTACAAAAGACAATTTGTTAAAAAATCAGTTACTAAACTTAAGTGAAATACATTATTAAGAATAAATATAAGATTTAATATAAAATAAAATGTGATTATTAAAAAAACAAACAATAAAATGACATTAGTTAGTAATAAAAATATAGCCACAGCCAAATAATTTAAAGTGCCTTAAAACAACTAATATTAGAGTTGGCCATCTCTTGATAGAATGTATGATAACAATTTCGTTTTGAAGCAATTTCAATTTGCTTTGATTCACGGGTTGTTGATTTTTTAGCTTCGATAATTTTTCCGCCAAATCTCGGAACCGTTCTGTGCTTGCTGTGAAAAACGATATGAATTATAGAAAGAATTAAACAGCCGATGGACAAGAGTTAGCAGCTGATGTCTTTCCAATTGAATTGATAGAATGAACACTGCAACGTGGTACAAACGCCGATAAATATATCTATAAATTATTTTTGTCCAAAGTATCGAATGAAAACTCAGTTACTAGTGTTTACTCATTGGAAGTTGACAGGTTTTTTTCGAATTTCGAAGTATACAGGGTGTCCCATAAGTCATGAATCAAAAGAAGTGGGATGGTTGGGAGG